TTGTATTTCTTATCGTGGTCCATATCTATAGAATAAAATAGTTATACCTAATATTAATTTTTTTATTAATTTGACTTATAATTATTCCAAACAAAAGTTAAAAGATATTTTTCACTATAAAACATCTTTACCTATTTCTAACAAAAAGATATTATTAGTTTTATTTTATTATTATTTTTTTTTTCTGTTTACATTTGCAGTAAAATAAATACTATATTTTACAAGAACAAAGAAAACAAGGCCTCTGAAAGAAGATCAACTGATCTTATCATCAGAACCTTTACAATTTTATCATAATATAAAAAATGAAAATATAAATTCAAAAAACGGCCGTAATAATAAATATATAATAATAAATTCATAATAATAATAATAATCACGTATCTTTAATAATAATTCTCACAGATCTGTTATAAAAATCCATAATAATAAATTTTATAGATCTGTTATAAATTGAAGAAAATAAATCTTTTAATATAAATATTACTATAAATCTCATAAATCAAGTTTATACTTCAAGTTAATAGTAACTTAAAATGTCATCCATAGCAAGAATAAAATTTTTTAATTCATTTTTAAAAACAGAAAAACGGATAAAAGGATCAAAATTAGGCAGAACTATTTTATTCCAAAGGTAAGGTGCTCGATAATTAATACAAAATTTATTAAATTTTGTTCTACAAAATGGTTCATTTAGCAAATCTTTATTTCTTCGTGAGTATTTATTAGTAAGTTTTAATGTAAAAAGGTCGTTAAAAACAGGTAGGGATAAATTGTTTTTCCACATATAAGTAAAAAATAAACCATTAAAAATGTTAAGTTTGTAGACATTAAGTACAAAGAAGCCGTGGCACAGTGGTAGCGCACTTGCCTCAGAAACGTAAGATCCATGGTTCAAACCCCACCTCTGGGCAAGCTTTGCGACATCGGTTGGGAAGGAGGCCTGAACTTCCCATTAAATGCTCTTCCGCGGTGCACTGTGATAAGACCGTAAGGACTTCTTGGGGCAACTTAATCAACTTAAAAAAAAAAAAAGAAAGTAATTTCATTTCATCAAAGAAAGGCTTTGAATCGCATGTTTCTGTTGGCGATATAGACGTTGTAGTTTACTTTTTTCGGTACTACCCCATGCAATATTTGAGTAGTTTATGTAGCTGTGTATGAATGAGTAATAGAGCTGCGTAAGGCTTTTTTTGCTTAAGCAAGGTCGGGCTTTATACAAAATGCCAATATATTTAGATACCTTGGTGGTTATATGATTAATATGGTTTTTCCAAGTAATATTCTCATCAAGATAAACACCTAGGAATCTTATAACAGAATCTCTTTTTATTAGAGTTTCATCAATGTAAATTTGAGGCATAATATCTGGTAAAGAACGTTTTTTTGAGAAGGAATGAAAAAGAATCCATTTAGTCTTGCTAGTATTTAACGTTAATTTATTACATTTAAACCATTTAGAAATGTTTATAATTAGTTCAATATTAGTTTTTGAGAAAAGTTTGTAAACATCAGTGTGGGTTATTGAAATAAGTAGCTGTCATCTGCATAAATAATACTCATCAGGTTAAAGGCTTTGTTTAGATTATTGACATATATAAGAAATAGCAGCGGTCCAAGAACAGAACCTTGTGGAACACCACAGGTTATATTTAAGGACCCACTTTGAACGTCATTATTACTATAATTTGTTACTGTAATTTATAACTTCACGAAAATTGTAAAATTATTCAAATATTGTTGAAACTATAAATTGTTCAGGGCATTGTGATAAGATCGAAATGATCTTCTTAAAATTATTTCATTATGCTTTTATTTATATTATATATATTATAAAGAATTGTTATGGTAAAGTATATACATACATACATACATACATACATACATCAAATCAAATGTAAAAAAAAAATTTCAATTTTTTTTAAATTGGATTTTTTGCTTTTATTAAATGTGCAAATAGACTGTAATTAAATATAGCTATATGCACGTGAAAAACGTGCGAATAGTGACTCTGCTTTTTATTGAACGCAAACCGTTTATTACATAATATATTGTTAAATATATATTAAGCCTGATCACGCATAATACGTTCAGATAATTTTGAGAAACTCGGGTAAGGCGGAATTAGATCTATAATTAAAAATATTAGTGTCATCACCAGATTTAAAAATAGTTGACATAGAAACATACACAATAGTTGACAAAACAATAGTCAATATTGTCTAGTTAGCATTGATAAATGGTTGGTTTTTAAAATGATGTATAAATATCTAAGAAGAATTAACAAGTTTTTTTATTCATAAATTTTTGTATTTGATTATTCGACTACTTGCCAAAACCTTTGATATTTATTAGCTACCGATCTGATTCTCATCCATGCAGATACTTTCGATCTACCGATCGAAAGTATCTGCAGGTTTTCATTTATCATTCATAGATTATCCTGACCATATTTTAAAAATCCGGAAAATTTTTTTTCCTCAAATATCCGGAAAAAATCCGGAAAATTTTTTTGTAATATCCGGAAAAAATCCGGAATTTACAGAGAGATGTTAACAAGAAGAGAGGGGGCGTGCTCTCCTCCATCTTTTATATTACTAAAATATTACGCCAGTTTAAAAGTATCCTTACTCAACGTATATATGAATAAAAAACTATATAACTTTTTTCATCAAAAAATAATAATAATAACAATAAAATTTTAACAATAATAAAAATAATGATAATAAGATGAAGTTAAAGAAGAAGTAGAAAACTATATTTAAAAGCTGTTAAACAATGCGGAAACTTTTTAGACATGCTTTTATACATTTAAATACATAATGAATAATGAAATATTGCCTCTATTCACCAAAGATATACAAATAGAAAAACGTTTAACGCATTGTTACAGATCAGAGTCGCCACCATAACTGAAATCCCATGGGCGTTATTTATTTTAGCGTTTTGGTTTTTTTGTAGTAATTTTACAAAATAAACCAACATATATCCGACACTTTAGCTTGCCAACTTCTTTCAGTAAACATTTTATTACCTACAAAGCACCAACTTTTGGAAAATATAAATGGATTTTATTTTAACTATTTTCGGAGCATACATCAATCGCAGTAAAAAGATAGGAAATAATAATAATAATAAAACACCAGACTTCTAAAATACAAAAAATAAGAAATCTTTAGTAATAAATATGTTAAAAAAGAAAATAAATAAATAAAAAGTAAAAAGATATTGAATTATTTTTCTGTAATCAGTTAGTTTTCTACAATTAGTTCTTCCACTCCGTGCTTAAAATGTTCTAAACTTAATTTTTAGTACAATGACTTCTTTTATTAAAAAATCTCCACGTTCAAAAATTATAAAAGTTTAAACATTCGTTAGATAAAGTTTAAATAAAAATTTTAAATTTATTTTAACTATGATAAATTTATTTTAACTATGATAAAGGTGAGGCATTATTAATGATTCACGTACTCATTCACGTGATTCAAAATTTAAAAGATTTAAAAATATGATTTTTTTTTAATTGAAAGAAAATAAAATTAATTTTGACACGTGCTTTTTGAATTGAAAAGAAAACGTACCTCAAAATGCGATGTTTTTAAAAACCTAATAATGGCACTTAGAAGCAATTTGATTCACTTGACATTTAGTCAAAGTACATATGTTTAGATTTCTTTAAAATAATTACATAGAATAAAATCCTTATAGTTTAGAATATAGTTTTATTATATAACACCTATTTGTATGTAATAACTTATTACTAACAAAGTAATTAATCTTAGTAATAATAAGTTTTTTTCACCCTTTACGAAAGTAAGTTGTTCCGCACAACCATATTACACCACGGTATTACAGTAACTGTAAGATTAATAGAAGTTTCTATTAGTTGAAGGTCATACCAAATTTCTCATTCTTAGATCGAACTATACATTGTTTCACTGCACTCTAGAATTGAATTTCACTAATCTCTAAAGAGTTTAAATTTAACGATTATATCTCATATTTGACGGAAATTAAAAACTGATTTCTCTGACAGCTTTTGTATTATTCTACCATCGTCATAACTTTTTAAATACCATCGTCAAAACTTTTTAAAGTCTCCAATTAATAAGAAATTATGCGAAAAAATGATATTTTCAAGAAGTGTACGAATAGAGATTTGCAATGGTACGACTGGACAGAAAACGAAATAATGATGCAGTAAATTTTGAACCACCGACAAATAAACTGAGAGAAGTTTCAGTCCATAAGCGAAGTGATTTACTTAAAAAAAGTTTTAAAACAATAAAAAAAGAAATCTCTTTGCTAATAGCTAAAAGAGGTATTTAAAAAAAGTAAATTTACAATTTTTTTTAAAAAAGAAGACTTTGACACGCATCGCTAATTTTATTTTAAAAGTAGGAGATCATTCGCTCTTTTGCGCTGGGATTTTTATTAAACTTTAATTAAAATGCTTATTAATTTTTGGTTTACTCTGCGAGGGAAATCTTTTAATCTTTTTGGCTTTGTTTGTTAACTAAATATAACGTTCCGTAATTTATGGACAACAAATTTACTGTTTATATATACTTGTTACTGTTTCATTTGATAGTAATAAACAGAAAAAATTTTATAAATTGTATTTTCGGAAACTAATTATCCGGAAAATATAAAAAGTTTAAAAAATATCCGGAATTCCGGAAATATCCGGAAAAAGATAATTCCTGATCATTGCATGAATGAGAATTCAACAAAAAAACCAAATGACGCACCTCGTAAATAGTGTCGAGTTTCTAGAAGTCCACAAAAATATTCTAGAAAAATAGTATATAGAAATAATAATCAGAATAATTTTCCACATAAATTTTCGAGAAGAATAGTTCACAGAAATTTCTTAGGAAATTTGTCCACAGAAATTTCCAAGAAAACTAGTCCATAGAAATTTTCTAGAAGATGAGTTACACATAAATTTCTCAGAGAAAATCAGTCTACGAAGTATCAAGCACTGTAAAATAAAAATGTTTTCTGAATAAAATTGAATTTATATCAAAACATGATTCCGTAATAAATAGGTTACAAAATTTTCAAATATTTTCGAAACTTCTAATACAAATAAATAAATATAGTTATCCATTTAATAAAGATTTATAAGCAGAGCTTCACAGCCCAGCATAAAAAAAAAAAACTACATTCAAAATTTGTATTATAAGTTCGGTTAGTTTCCAGACTTTTTCCAATGGGCCCGCACTTTAAAGCAGACACATTTCTAATGAATATTTTTTGAATAAAAATACAAGTGCATTTGGTTAGATTTTTGCTGGAATTTATATATATAATTGCTATGCCGATTAACTTTTATTGTATTAAGCAATTAAAAAAAAAAAAAATGTTGAAACCGAACGTCTATACAACATCCGTCGCTGCTCTTAATACAGCTACGCATGCTAAGCCATTTAAATGTAGATATTTTTAATTTTGATAAAATTATTCAAGATAAAATTTTGTTAATTTGAACTATTTTCGTATCTAAAAACTCTTCAAAAATATATGTCCATTAAAGCAATTTATAATGCCGTATTCAAACATTGTGAAAACAAATAAAAATAAAGACCAAAACCATTGATTTAGCACAAATAAATAATGTAATTTATCGCGTTTATATTTTTACGATAAAGATATTGTTAATCCGCAAATCAGTTGATTGTGCAATAATCGTTTCTCTGTAACTAATATTTGGTATAATAAGAACTTCAAAAAGAATGCAACAATTTTTCTGGAGAAAATTTTTATTAGTATCTCATTTGAAGTAATTCTAAACAGAAGAAAAGTATATATATATATATATATATATATATATATATATATATATATATATATATATATATATATATATATTTAAACAATTTAAAATGTATTCTACAAAAAGAGTGCTCAATGTTCTTAAAAGAACAGAGCAATTACAAATTAGTAGAAAATCACTTAGCAAAATTTTTTTTCATTTAACACTGTTTCATCAAAAAAGATTTCTGATGAGTCTTTATTGATGAAACACAGTGTTAAATGAGAAAAAATTTTGCTAAGTGATTTTCTACTAATTTATATATATATATATATATATATATATATATATATATATATATATATATATATATATATATATAAATACATATATATATACATATATGTGTGTGTGTATATATGTATATATACACACATATATATGTGTATATATACATATGTGTGTATATATATGCGTATATCTATCTATCTATCTATCTATCTATCTATATATATATATATATATATATATATATATATATATATATATATATATATATATATATATATATATATATATATATATATATATATATATATATACATACATACAGCTATATACTAATTCAGCTATATCAGGTGAGGATATAGCTGAATTATCTTTGATTAAAACTCCTTGGAATAAAGCTGAATTTCCAACAGTTTCTGACAAAACCCTTAAAAAGCATCTGTGTAAATAAATACTATCTAGAAAATAAATACTACAATTTAAAAAAGCATGGAAAGAGAGGATCAACTGCAGATTTAAAAAAAAATGATTTTATACAAAAGTTAATAAAGTGTTTTTGGATTGGTATATCAAATCTTAGACATACCATAATGATCGATAAGAAAAGATCAGATAAAGACAAACCTGAAGATTTGAAGTTTTAGATGATCAAGAATGCCATAGAAAGTTTATTCTTGGAACCGAGGATAAAAAATATAGTAAAATGTCTAGTGAGAGTATTCGAAAGAAAAAGTTTAAAAGAAAACGCAATACTCTGGAAGTTAAAGCAACTTTAGATCAAGAACTAATTTTAGATGAAAATGATACAGAAATGTTGAATGATTTAGACTTTGAACCTGGAGACTGGACAAAGAGAAAAGAAAAAATAAATAAAAAACCAATTTACGTGCACAATTCTTAAAGATATTTACAGTGGTAGTGTTGCACTTGCAGCATCAATCAATAATACATCTCCTGCAGTTCTCCAGAAAGTTGTCATTTTTGTTGTTCATAAAGTTGGTGTGGATGTAAGTAAATTACACTGCAGCATTTCAGCAGCCTAATCACATATGTAAACAAGCCAGAAATGACATTAAAGCGGCTTTAAAAGCCTCAAAATATCAACTTATCATTCATTTCAATGGTAAAACCTTATTTGAATTAATAAAAGGTAACGATTCAAAAAAGACAGATTAGGAGTTTTTTTAAATATTGATGGAGAGGTTTATTTTCTCCGAGTACCTTCTCTAGCATCTTCATCAGGGGAGGATCAGTATAAAGGTGTGATGAATCTCCTGAAGGAATATGAAACCAAAGGAAACATCGGAGGGCTATACTTTGATACTGCTTCCAGTAATACTGGAACTAAAAAGAGTTCACTTTTTAGAATAGCAAACAATCTAGATATCTATCCATTATTTCTTGCTTGTAGACACCATATATCAGAACTGAAGATTGTTCACTTTAGTAATGTTGTGACTCAAAGATAGACATCTGGACCAGAGAATCATTTATTTAAAAAACTCAAAGACATAATTGAAACTCCTGGTTTTTATCATGATACTAATGTTACAAGATTTCTTTGGGATAAAACAAAAGGAACTGTTAACTAGTGTGCTGCAGTTGAGTCTCAAAATTTTTGGAAAGAATATATTAAAAGTCAAAAAGTTTTAAGAAACAATAGAAAAGAACTAGCAGAGCTAGTTGTTGCTTATTTGCTATCTGAAGATGGGAAAATTAAAAAACCAGGAGCTGTCCACCATGCAAGGTTCCTTGGAAAAGCTATATATTATTTAAAATTGCAATTTCTTTCAAATGAAATTAAATTTGTTCAGGAAGATAAACTACTTTTATAAGAAACAAATATCATGGCGGAATTCATAGCATATTTTTATGCAAAATGGTATTTGCAATCTGATAAGGCTATCAAAGCACCATTTCTAGATATTTTGTCAATACATAAAATGCATGTATATACAGAGGTTTGTGCAAAACCAGAGGCAGTTAAAGCAGTATTGAAATCATTTTACAAACACTCCTGGTATCTAGATTCTACAATTGTACCTCTTTCATTGTTGGATGAAGATTTTTCTAACAAAGAAAAAAGTAAGAATGTCTCTGCTATGCTTCAATAGGACATGCCAAACTCTTATTATTTTAAAACTGAAAACAGGTCGCTCATTGAAGTGGAAAACAAGATTAAGATTGAAAAGAGAATTTACAATGATCCCCCAAGTTTATCATTACTAGTTGATCAATTCTCTTATTTGATGTTTGATAGAATTGGCTTGGATAAACAAAGGATTAGAGACTGGTTTAACCTCCCACCTCTGTATTGGTGCACACAATCAAGTTTTAGAATCTTCAAAGATTTTGCTAAATCTCTAGTTGTTGTAAACGATCCTGCTGAAAGAGCAGTAGGAATGACGCAACAATTTTTGTTCACATATATACTTACTGTTGATAAAGCTAGATTTACCACTAAAAAGCCGGGGAAAAAGTCATCAAATTTGTCTAAGAAAATGTTAATTGACTCACTTTCTACAATCGAAAAAATGATTTAAAAATGATAATCAAACAAATTTATTTTAACAAATTTTTATATTATCTTAAATAATTAATTAAAGGTAAATCTTCATTCATAAAAAAATTTAACTGTAAATATACTTATAATTCACGGTAAAATTCATTTTTAGCGATTTTTAACACTATTTAACACAATAAATCAGCAAAAGTTGGCATATTCAGCCTTAACTACCCTTTTTATTTGAAAATATACATCAATACCTGTCTTATAAATAAAAAATCAGTTCGAAATTTTAATATTATTACCTCCCCCAAGCCTTGCAAATACAATCATTTTTGGACCATTTTTTTTTTAATTAAAAGGGGTCTGGGGGAGGCGTATATATATATATATATATATATATATATATATATATATATATATATATATATATATATATATATATGGATATATATACATATATATACATATATACACATATATGTGTGTATATATATGCGTATATATATATATATATATATATATATATATATATATATATATATATATATATATATATATATATGTATATATATACATATATATATATATGTGTGTTTATATATATACATATATATGTATATATATATTTACATATGTGTGTGCTTGTATATATATACAGTATGTCAAAAAAGTAGTCATTTTTTAACTTTTCTGTTGTATAACTTAGAGAATTGCAGAAAAAAAGCCAAAAACAAACAAATTTGATTGATAGAAGTTATTCTAACTTAACTTTTTAGAAAAGTTTGTTTTCTTTTTAGGTTCCTAATAAAAAAACTATGGTGAAAAGATATGAAATTCATGAATCAGTAAAAGAGCTGATCCTGGGACACTATAAAAGTGGAAAAGGGTATAAAACTATTTCTAAAATAGCAAATGTTAAACCTAATAGTGTAGGAAATATCATAAAAAAATATAAAAAAATGGGTACCATAAAAAATTTGCCAAGAAAAGGACGCCTAGCTAAGACTACTTTACGCATTGATAGAGAAATTATTCGGAAAGTTGAACAAGATCGAGGATTATCTGCACCAAAGCTTGCAAAAGATTTACAAACAGATCATGGTATAACTGTAAATCCTCAAACTGTTTGCAATTGGTTGAAAAATCAAGGTTTTGTAGGTAGAGTTGCACCAAAAAAGCCCTTTTTGAGTAAAAAGAATCAAAAGAAAAGATTGGCTTGGGCTAAGAAACATTCAAATTGGACTAGCGACCAATGGCGAAGAGTTTTATGGTCCGATGAAACAAAATATGTTTATTTGGTTCTGATGGTGTCATATGCAAATAGAGAAAAAATGGTGAACGCTTAAACCCTAAATGTATGAGACCAACTGTCAAGCATGGAGGAGGTAACATTAAGCTTTATTATAAAATTCATTATTATATATATTATTAACTTGTTTTTTCTTCTTTTCATAGGTCAAATGATGGTTTGGGGCTCCTTTGCTTGGAGTGGTGTTGGCGAACTTGAATTCATTGATGGAATAATGACAAAAGAGGTTTATACTGATATTCTGAAGCGAAAACTGAGATTAAGCGCCAGAAGTGCTGGCTTATCTCGTAAGAGATAAGCCAGCACTTCTGTTATGTTAGTGTGGATTCCTCAGTCACCAGATCTAAATCCGATCGAAAATTTATGGAATCTTTTAAAAATTAAAGTAGCTGATCAAAAACCATCAAGTTTGTCGCAATTAAAGATTCTTATTGAAGAGTGGGAAAAATTTGACCCACAATGGCTTAAAAACTTAGTAGATTCAATGCCCAAAAGATGTCTTGCAGTCATCAAGGCAAAAGACGCACAAATAGACTATTAATTTTATATCAGCAAAATAATTATTTAAGGATGATAAACTTTTTTGACCTACACTTTTTCTAATTTAGTGGATAATTTTTGTTTTAAGTATAAGAATATTAATATCTTGTTATAAAAATGTTTTTTTAATATAAATTCAATATTTAAAAAAAAATTTAGGTCAAAAATCTAAATTTAAGCATAAAAAAATTTGTTTTTATTGAAAAATCATCAGAGGGTGATAGACTTTTTTGACATACTGTATATATGTATATATATATATATATATATATATATATAATATATATATATATATATATATATATATATATATATATATATATATAAACAATTTTAAAATGTATTCTACAAAATTGAGTGCTCAATGTTCTTAAAAGAACAGAGCAATTATAAAGTATTTAACCGTGAAATTGAAAAAACTACAAAGTTATTTATAATTTTACAAAATTAGATTCGATGTCACTCAGTTAAAAACTAGTCATTGAAGTGACACCTTAAAAAAATAAACAAACAAAGCAAAAAAAAAAAATAATATAAGTAGCGACCAAAAATAAATAAATAAAACAAAATAAAAAGAAGAACAATAATATTAAAAAAGCAAGACAAATAACACAAAAAAGGGAAAAAGTGAATAAATTGATATGAGAGATAACGACTGAGACAACGCAAGATTTGACGATCTGAAGGATGATAGAAAATAAATTTAAAAAAAGAGAGAAAAAAAAAAAGAATAACTCAAATAATAGCAACAAACGTAAAAAGCAACAATAATAAAAATAATTAGCAACAATATCACAAAAAATACACGTCAACATAAACAATACACAAATATACACGTCAATATAAACGATACATAAAAGTATAAACAAAGCATAGAAATACAAGACAATATAAAAAAATAAATTAAAAACTAGGGCTGAACCGGATTTAATTTTTCAAAATCTGGCTGGAGCTGGATTTTGAAAAAAAAATTTTGCTGGATTTCTAATGACCAATCCGGCCGGAGCTGGATTTTGATACAAAATTACAGGAGCCGAAATCCTGTACAATGTTGACCATTCTCAATACCAAATGACAGTTGTTTTTTTTTTACACTTCATTGTTGTTATTAAAATAGTATAATTTCACAATTTCATATAACATAACATAACATAACAAAATAAATGATTAACGATTAAAACTTTCAATTTAAAAGTGAAGTAAAGTACCTTAAGTTTCAGTTATTTTTCTAAAATTTCTTTGTTCAGTTTCGAATTATACTTTAGAAATATTAAGCGAGCTGCATTATGTGGCAGGAATGAACTACAATGATCATTGAGGACCTCCCCAGCAACACTGAACAAATGTTCTGATGGTATACTTGTCGGTGGGGTACCCAAATAAATGCAAGATATTGTCGCTAGAGCTGGCAAATGTTGTATGTTGTCACTCCACCACTGTAGTGGATCAGCGTGTCTATTTATTTATGGTTCTGCCAAATACTGACTTAGCTGAATGTTAATGCCTGTTGGTAATTGTTGCTCATGTGCTGTGCCATCAGTGGATCTAGACTGAACAATTTTATCAATACATAGTCAGTGTTATGATGATGATGTAGAAGAACTATACAGCCGCAATTTCTTCAATTTTGTCTATCTGCTATTCAGCATGTTCAGATTGACATTCTTCTTGCATCAACACCCCGTGCACTGTAACTTTATTGAATGTATATTTAACCACATTTGTGTCTTCACTTTAGACTCTATCGTGTCTTCCCTTCAGAATTTTCCATTTAGCTGTTGTTTGAAATTGGACTTATTAAATTATAAAGAAATGTAAATACAGATACCATTACAAACATGGAGTTTATAGAATATAGAACATTGATTTTTATAAACAAAATATTAAGTATACATGTAAACACAGGGCAAAAGATGTTATTTGTTATCTGACCGAAATTCAGAAATCCAGCTAAAATTTTACCGGATTTGCCAACTTTTTGCTGAAGCCAGATTTGAGCCAGATTTGTAAAAATTGTCTGATTTTGGCCAGAGCAGGAGCCAGGGCCAAAATCCGGTATAGCCCTAATAAAAATATTGTTGTCTATTCTGTGCATTTTAAACAATGCACAGAATAGACAACAGTAAAAAACAATCCAAACATAAAATAATAAAACTTTAAACCGCTATTTTTGTTTTCTTTTAATATATATATTTATGTATTAGTATTTCAGTAAAAATATATTTTTTAAAAAACTTTTATTGATGGCAACAAAACAGCAACAAATGTGTAATGCAACTTTGCATGCTAGAGTGGAAAATTCTAATTTGCCTCTTAAACCAATTGTAAAAACTGTTGGATGTTGTAAAAGCACTGTGATTAGAACTTTAAATAACTATGTGACACTTAATAAAATAAAGATGTATTTAGCATCAAATCTTTAAGATATATAAACCCCCAAGAAAATTTAGTGGCAAGAAATTCTGCAGAAAAATTATACAAATTATTGTGTAGCAAAAAAAAAGTATAAAAAAAATTATGGATGAAACTTATGTGAAACTAAATTTCAAAATAATTTCAGGACATCATTTTTTTATGGGAGTCTCCAGGAAAAAGATAAAGGCTAAATTTAAAACAATAAAACTAAAAAAACTCCCCCCAAAAAAATATGGTTTGGCAAGCCATATGTCAATGTGAATTGAAAACACAAAGTTTCGTCACTAACTCCAAATTTTTTTTTTTTTTTTTGTATATTGTATATATGTAATTAATAGTAAAATTTATTAAAAAGTGTGCCTTAAAAAGTGCTTATTGCCACTGTAGAATGCCCAGAATAGTAATGCAATCTTTTGGCCTGACCTAGCATCTTGTCATTACTCAATTTATGTTATTACAAATTTACATTAAAATTCTACAATGCCAATAGTATCATACCTAAAACACACAATCCTGCAAATTGCCCTGAAACTCGTCCAATTGAGCAATACTATAAATATAAAATAAACTTCTAAAAGAAGTTTATAAAAGAAATTTAGGCAAGCAAATCCAAGAACTGACTTTAAGAAGAAAAACATCAATATGAATCTCATCAAGTGCAAAACTTCCATCAAGAGATAATTAAAAAATTTTATTGTAATGAAGAAATTAATTTTTTTCTTTATTTTTTTTCTAGATTTAATAAGCGTTTAATGAAAAAAAAAAAAAAAACTCAATTTTGTAGCTTATTCCAATCTTTTTCAATTCAAGATATAAAAAGTATCAGTTTTCTTTAACCCAACCTTTACTATTGCATTCATTCTAAAATTACACCAAAAATTTACCTAAGTTGCTAAAAAGATAACTTTTTGGTGTAAGCATAAATCTGTTACAACTCCAACCTTAGTTACTCCAAGGGTGTTAAAAAGTTCCAGGATAATCTTTTCTTAGAGCGTTAGATAGTCTTTTTTTATTTAAAATATCTTTTTTCTAGTTACACAGCTATTTTAAATATATAAATTATATAATCGTATAATATAAATTGTATAATAAATATATATAAATTGTTTATATATTGTTTATTTATTTACTATGGCTATTTACAACTTCTAATAAATCTAAATCTTTTAATAGTACAAAAACTTGAAATAAATCTTTTAAAAAATAAATTCTATATACTCTTGAAAAGTTTTTTTTAACTTATCTGGTCTGGTTTTTAACTTATCTGGTAATTTTTTGTCATTTGTTTGGATGATGGTCCATTATAATCTCACTTTGATTCTTTAAGGTAATGCTTGTGCAAAGTTTTTATAAAAGATAGAATGAAAATCAAATCTTAATAAATTTAAGAATTGACAACAATAAGTTGAAGGAAACTTTTTACTTAAAAAAAAAATTATTTTTGATACCTTTAATTCATTTTAGACATCTCAAACTTGGTTGTCAATATTTCCTATGAAAAGCAAAGGTAATATTTAAAAACAGCAGCATTTGAAATAACAAACATCAATTGTAACACAAAAAATGAAAGCATACTTCATCTGAGTCTATTGTAGGTAGCAATCTAAAACAAGATATTAAAAAGAAAAATTTTATAATACTTTAAATAAAATGACAAATGTTATAATGAAAGCACAGACACAGATGGAATATTAAACAAAGTAGCAACTACATAATAAAGATACAACATCTAAGAAACAAAGAAAGAAGGATCAAGGAGAGAAAATTGCTGATTTGAAAATAAAGAAACCTACGTAGAAGGAACTGATGGAATATTTTCTTCAACCCACTTTAAATCATCTTCCTAAACATAAATGACAGATTAAAAAAAAATTTAGTTTCTGAGCCAATAAAATTAATCTAATTAATTTATTTTAAAACTTTTTAAACTTTTTAACTTTTTTATTTTTAAAAATTTTATTAAAAATTCTCATTTTTAACAAAAATTCTCAATTCGTATTCTTTTAATTCGAGAGATAATTTAAATCACTCTTTAGTCCCTTTAAGGTTTAATATTTAGAATTGAAATTTAATTTGAAAACTTTAAACTTGAACATATTTTTTGATCCCTTGAGGATTCAAATTAAATGAGTTCAACTGTAAATACTTAATTGTAATTATAAATTAACAATTATTAACATTAATTAGTTGTTCTTAATGATCGTTAATATCAACAATCATAGTATCAGTTGAACACTATGAAATTCAGCACCTTTTAATTATTAAGTACTCAAAAACTAGTTGACAAATTTTTTTTCGCACTTGGAAGCTAAAGTGTTGTCATTTGATTGTAATGGTAATAAGTATTGGTTATCATTGCTATAGGATTAAAATGAGTAAACAAATATTAAATCGAAAAAAAGTTTTCGAAATTTTTTTTTCAAAATCCTTCATTATCACAAGTTGACATTTCAAAATTGACCAGTGTTTCTCAATCATCAGTTGGATGGATCAGTGTTTCTCGATCATCAGTTGGATGGATCAGTGTTTCTCGATCATCAGTTGGATGGATCAGTGTTTCTCGATCATCAGTTGGATGGATCAGTGTTTCTCAATCATCAGTTGGATTTTGCAGCGATATAAACAGACTCAATCTATTGAAGCTGGAAGTGGAAAAAGAAAGGATTTAAAGATAAATATAAAGAAAAATCAATAACTTGCTCCATAAGGCAAATACATGTCAGCTGCAGGGAGATCTTGCAAGACAAATTTGATGCAGCCATTTTTGATAGGAAAAGTACATAGATCTCAAGAATATAAAGCACATCATAAAAAGAAAACTTCATTGATGGAGAAATTAAAGCAACTTGTTGTTCAAAAAAGCTATATAAACTTTTAAACCAAGAAAACTTGTGCATATTTGAAAACAATAAAACCTATTGCAAAAAAGACTTTTAATAATTGCCAGAGCAGCAATATTTTTATCAGTCAAAAGGTAGATATGTTGCCAAAAAATTCAAGTATATTTAATATGAAAACTTTGCTTCCAGGTTCATTATATGGCAAGCAATCTGCTCCTGTAGTTTAAAAAGTACACCATACATTACTCGTAAAACTTTAAACCCAGATTTATATATAAAAAAATGCTTAAAGAAACGTCTTTAACCATCTATTAAAAAGCATGAAATGCCCACAGTATTTTGGCTTGACTTGGCTACAATTTACTACTCCAAGAAGTCTCTGGAATGAACAAAATGGCGTTGAATTTGTACATAAGGAAGCAAACCCTCCAAATTGTCCTGAGCAGCGAAATATTGAAAGTTATTGCTCAATTATAAAAGGAATCTTATTGAAAAGCAAGAAATTAGCTACAAATAAATAAGATTTTAAGAAAATATGGATAGCTGCCTCAAAAAAACTCAAAGCATAATCCAGCAGATGGTGTCAAGTACCGAAAAACGGGCAAAAGAACAGAAAATCTTGAAGAAGTTTTTGTAGTAGTTTTCTGCACAAAAATCATGATTATCAGAAAATCTTGAAGAAGTTTTTGTAGTAGTTTTCTGCACATTTTAACGATCTAATGAATTGTTAAAATCTTTAGTTTCCTTAAAATTTTTTTACAATAAAAATAAGTCATTGTAAGTTTTATTTCGAAATAAAAAAATAATTTTAGAACACTCTGTTAAATAACTTTTTAAAAAAATAATGCAAGATAAAATTACATAAGTTTTATTATTTAACAAGAACAACCGAAAATCATGGTTTGTTGCGGTTTTTTATAAATGTAGTTTTTTGGAAACCCTTAAAAATTACATAAACCTGTTAAGTATTTTTCGCTTAATTAACAATTAAAGGGTGCTGAATTTCATCATGTTCAACTGATAATAAGTTTCATTTTGTTAAATATCAGTAAAATAAAAACAGCTGTAAATGATACTATTTTTAATACTTTTGTCTACCTTAAAACAGCTGTAACCATGGCCTATAATAAATACACAGCTGGATAACTTGCTTTTTTCTTTTTTAAACAGGTCTTATTTTAAATTAAAAAAAAACAAGTCTAAATATGACATATTTAGTATTTTATACAAGGAAATATGAGTATTCCATACTACAATACACCAGTATTCCATACAAGAAAAAAATATGATATCAGTATTCCATACAAGGAAATTTGATTATTCCATATTAGTCCAAATATGATATCAATATTCCATACAAGGAAAAATAAGAGTTAAAGAATGGAATCAGAAGTAAGAAAATGGAAAGCACAACAATTAGAAAAGCAAACCTTAGCAGATATATAGTTTCCATGAGAGGTAAAAAATAATCTGAGAAGATGGATAGCAAAAGAATCAGTAAGATTGTTGCCATTCATAAATATTGAATACTACCAAGATTGCAATTATCAGAAACAACTGAATTATGTTTAGAATAAAATTTACAAGCTGCTGCAAGCCCCAAGCTTGAAAGCAAGCTCCAAGCTTGAAAGCAAGCCCCAAGCTTGAAAGCAAGCTCCAAGCTTGAAAGCAAGCCCCAAGCTTGAAAGCAAGCCCCAAGCTTGAAAGCAAGCTCCAAGCTTGAAAGCAAGCCCCAAGCTTGAAAGCAAGCTCCAAGCTTGAAAGCAAGCCCCAAGCTTGAAAGCAAGCTCCAAGCTTGAAAGCAAGCCCCAAGCTTGAAAGCAAGCTCCAAGCTTGAAAGCAAGCTCCAAGCTTGAAAGCAAGCTCCAAGCTTGAAAGCAAGCTCCAAGCTTGAAAGCAAGCTCCAAGCTTGAAAGCAAGCTCCAAGCTTGAAAGCAAGCTCCAAGCTTGAAAGCAAGCTCCAAGCTTGAAAGCAAGCTCCAAGCTTGAAAGCAAGCTCCAAGCTTGAAAGCAAGCCCCAAGCTTGAAAGCAAGCTTCAAGCTTGAAAGCAAGCCCCAAGCTTGAAAGCAAGCTCCAAGCTTGAAAGCAAGCTCCAAGCTTGAAAGCAAGCCCCAAGCTTGAAAGCAAGCTCCAAGCTTGGAGCTTGCTTTCAAGTGTGTGATCCCAAGCTCCAAGCTTGGAGCTTGGGATCACACTCAAGATTGATGAGATCACACCCAAGATTAATGCCTGTTCTAAACAATCAAAAAGTGATGACTTCTTGTCATGACTGATGTATATAGTGGCATCATTAGCAAATAGAGCCACCCTAGAATTAAGAATATAATAAAGATTTATACAGATAAAGAACTGAAGAACAACACAGGACCAAGAATGGAATGTGGTAATACTTTCAGAAGTTACTGAAATTAATATTGTATTATCTTATAATGGACACCTTTAATACTGTGCTTAGAAAGAAATGGTTCAATAATTTGAATAAAGAGATCACTTCTGTTAGTCTGAGATAGAAATGTTGTCAAAACTGTGGAGGAATTTAATGTTATAAAGGAATTAAAGTGAGTAGTCAAATACAACTGGAATAAACAACATGAATAATACAAACTAAGAGTTATCCAATTATTAAAGCAAATATATTTCAACAAAATATATAACTTATGCAAAAAAAAAAAAAAAAAAAATACAGCTATGAAAAAATAACTTATCAAGAAAGTAAAAAAGTTTTAGCAAAAGACAATCTATAGCAAAACATAGTCCAACATAGTCCAAAAGTTTTATCTGAAGTCTTTTTCTTAAAAAAAAACGTTTTAAATAAGTAAAATGACAGATTGCTTCAAAAAAAAAGTTTTATCTGAAGTCTCTTTCTAAACAAAACGTTTTAAGTAATCAAAAAGACAGATTGCTTCAAAATATCTTAATTTCCTTTTTTTTTTATTTATTTTTAATCATTATTCAAGCTCTCAAGAAGGCTATTCAAGATTTTTTTTTTTTTTTTCACTTTTCTTAAATGAAGTCAAGAATAAAACTTCTTTTAAAGTGCCAGTCAGTAGAAGTTCAGTTAAATTCAAAAGGTTTAACAACTCTAAAGATAAACAGGCTAAAGGAATACCGCTACCTAAAAGGCTTTATAAAAAAACAAACTGGGTGATTAAATTTTGAAATTTTCTGCTTTACTCTAAAACGCAGTGAATAGCTAGTTTTTTAGTTAATTCTAGAAGGAGTTAATAAGTATACCTCAAAGAGGTTGAATGATTGTATCATTCTTGTTAGAGTATTTTGAAAAAAGTTAGCCTCAGGACTTCGAAAAAGAGAAAAGTATTACGTGTTTGGTTGATGATGGAATATGATTAGTATTAACTTTCTAATTAAGTTGTTGCAGTTGGAAAGCTTTGGAAAAAACCCATTTAATTTCAACAGTAGATATATAAAAAATGAAGGTTTGTGTAGTTTAAAAATATTTTGGAAAATTATTGTCTAATTATTTTGCCCAAAAAGTTGAAACTATGGAATATAGTTGAAATCAGCTACAAAAACAAATGGATAACAATGGAAGAGAAGCAAACTTTACATTAGGTGTGCAAGATGAGTTCTATTTTAGTTTGATTAAAGTTACAAGGCAGCCCATTTAGCTGTGAACTAGACATTATTAAAGTAGATAAAGATATGTTAAAATAAAAAAAAGTTCGAAAAATGAGGTTCTTTATTTTAGGGATACAATGTAGGTCATTGTCGTGGAACTCTATTCTGCTTAAATACATGAATGTTGATATAAAAATACAAACCTCTATCTATGTCTACCAAAGAACACGCTCATAACCTAAATGTTCTAATGTCCCGCAGCAATCTCTATCACATATGATGACTTTTATAGTTATTTTCCATTTTCAATAGTAAATAACAAACTGTATAATTTATTTTCATATACAATGCTTAATTTTTTTTGTTACTTATAAATCATAAGGTATATTATTGATAAATTAAACAGAAAAAGATTTCTATTTT